AACTGTTGAGAAGTTGTGTACACTAGATAAAAGGGCAGTTCCGCGGTTATTGTTTTTAAATAGTTCTTCAGCTATTTTCGGTTCCAGAGTAAGAATAACTGAACTGAACGCTGACATACCAGTTTGTACTAGGTATACTGTAAAGAACACAAACTGTAGCACTAAGTAATTATATGACTACAAGATGATTCTGGTTGGTTGATTCGTTACTATTCTTTGGCTGAATTTTAATGTCTTATCCACTAATCCAATGTATACTAAAGATTACTGAAGAAATATAAATCTCTTAGAATCAATCTATTCCCGTAAGGTGAATAAATTAGTCATACTTATTGTACTGATGTGTTGGGTATTTGTGGTGTACATTCTGATATCATTAACATAATTACAAACTAAGACGAAACAGCTGTTCAGTACTCCCTGGCTTTCAATGGTTCTCTCACTGATACCAATGCGTAGTCAAACTTTAAAACAAATTAAATCCCAACAATTGATATAAGTATATTTTAAAAGGGAGGACCGTGAGGCCTCCTTACTGACAAAAACTACACTCCCGAGCGCACCCAATTAGGGTCCGTCGCAAGTTCCAACCCACCGAGGTGCAATGGTGAGCCTCCACCCGGGGTCAGAGCATTCTTGATCACCCTAAATCCGGCGCCAACCCTTGAAAATTATTCTAATGCTCACTATTTACTGGCTACAGAACGGATTTTTCTGGAGTTCTAGTGAGTAGTTATGACAGGTGGAGTCCATTCAGTTGGGAGTGAGAACAAATACTCGCCGATGACACTGGCTGGTAGTAACGCTAAAATCATGAATTGGCAGAAGTTAGAATCCATGGACCATTGAGTCAGGTGCCAGTGACTGAATGCTCTACAAGCTTGCCTAGTAACTGCAAGTTCCTGGGTTCGAATTCCTTTCAGTGAGTGCTCACCGTCAACGAGTCCCAAGTTGGAATGAGACTCCCTGGTTTTCAGTGGTCCTCTCACTGAAATCAATCCGTGATCGAACTTGAAACAAATCATATACCCACAAAGCAACTCTTGATAACTACAACAGCTGATCACGAATCAACACCAGTTAGAAAGATCATTGAAAAGCAGATAGCACTTGACGTCTGTTTTCTTCTAGTTTGGGAATCTTCAGTAGTATCTAGGGTTCGAAACCAGGACCCTCAGGTTACAAAATGAAACTCGCTGACCATTCATCCACTTTGTTTGGCATTCAATGACCCATGGTTTCTTTGCCAACTCTCGGTACAGAGCTACCTTCATTAATGCCTTTAACCAGTGTTCAATTCACGACTTCTAAGTACAGCTTCAGGATATCCATCCTGCAAGTGGCAGTGAGCTGGAGATTGATAGATAGGTGATACTGAAGAGTCCTAAGATCAGATGAAACAACTGTCCAGTACTTTCCAGCTTTCAATGATCTCTGTAACTGGTGAAGACGTCTAACACCTGGAATTTAATCAGTCCTAATCTTCTCAAATTCCATAATCCATATGATTACAGTACTTCATAAATCTATGAAAGACAGTTGTTGGAAGAACACTTATGAAGACTTTCATATTTCGATTAATTATCTGTATTATTAACGAATACTGAAAGATTAGCAAATGAACCATCCTTCAATTTACATAGTATGAACTGTTTTGTACTATTTATCATAAGGTTTTACATCGTCTAATACCAACGTTTTCCAAAGTCTTATTACATTTTATTCCCAACGATAAAAAAATTGATTGATTTTAGCATCTTGTTCATTTCGTTTTTTCATCACTGTATATTATTCGTATATGGCATTTTCACAAAGATCGTATATATAAAATTCAAATAAAATTATACTTAACTTTTGTCCTCATAATATGGTATACTTTAAGGTGAAATACCAGAAAATATTGGGAATTACTAAAAAGTAATAACCAATAAGTAGTTTTATTTACAAGATTAATGATGTAAGCTATATGTGTGTATAATACATGTGATGTGTAATGATACTTTAAAGGCCTACTTACCTGCCCACATTTCATCTATGCATTCCTCAGTGCCCATGCAAGGCATAAAGTTATTCGCGTGTTACAATTTCAGTGGTAAAGTTACTAAACTACTTACTAAACAGACAAGAATTCATATGGTAGTTGCCTCCAAACATATTGACTACTTAGAATAACATCTATTGCATCAGAAGAACAACACAAAATTTGATTTTTTTTAAAGAAAGTAACAAAAGGCATATTGTGTTAACATAAAATCCTTGGAATAATGTTAGTACACTCGATATGGGTTTCTCTTTTTTTGTATTGACTTCCTAATAGAAGTAACACATACTAAAATGTCAAAATAAGATGAAAATATTAAGTTTTATTGACGTCAGAGGAATACGCTTCAGTGATATTTTCCTACATATGACATTTACATGCCTTTATTCAACTGACTACATTTAGATAATGGAATTACTATCAGACTGAAAATTCATAAGAACAGAGTGAAGTAGCAAACTTGCTAATACAATTTTTTTTATCAATAGCTTTTAGTTTCTGTGATGAGTGATTATTTAAACAGCAATCATCAAGAACTGGTTTTTACAGCCTTACAAAAGCAAATTCCATCCTTAGTGAATGCGAAAGTTATCTAAAGTAAATAGAGCATATAAGCACTGTGTTCCAAGACATGATTAACACAATTCATGAGATCCGACAACTATATACCTCTCCCAGCATGATAGCTGGTGATGGTGAGTTGGCTTTGAATCCATGCGGGAAGCAAAAACTTCAGATTCTAAGTGGTTATGCGCTTTGCTATTGTGTGACAATAATCAGTTTTCAATTGGGTATAAACATTTGGTCTTAGTCGTCTACTTGTGTAACAACAGAAGGTAAGACACGGGAGTCAAGGTATAATTTTCATTAATCAAACCGCTGTTTATATATATCTACAGTTTATGTTCGTTAACCAATCACCGAGCGTGTGATTTCGGTTTACATCAAACAACATGAAATAGAATGTTCAAATATACATGGTACTCTGTTGTTAATGCAGTATATTACCGTGGGAAATGTATTCTGTCTCTAACATCATATAGAATCTTCAAATAGATATATCGTATTCTGTTGCTAATGCTGAATTGAACTGTGGGAATATGTAAGAATACTATTCCGTCGGCACACATTTTCGGTATCATACCACCACACTAGTAGTTAGTCAGTGATCAATAAAACAACTCTAGTGTACTATAACTACCTCACTTTTAGGACTTTTGGGTTTTATTGGTTGGAGGATTTCATCATGAGCTGAAATCAGTAAGGGAAGCATTGGAAAACCACCTGGGAGTACTGGACAGTTGTCTCGTCCGTCCTAGTTTGGGACTCTTCTGCAGTGCGCACTCAACCACCGGGGTTCGAACCCGGGATCTTCTCGTCACTAGGCGAGCTCGTAGACCATTTAGCCACTAGCCCTTGAATTCTAACTTCTGTCAATTCATGACATAACGCGACCACTTCGCAATGTTTTGTTCGATGAGTTACTGCCTCACATTCAACCTGCTGTACCCTACTGGTTACGGTTTCCCACTAGAACCCCAAATTAACTGCCTGAATAGGACCAGTCACTAAAGAGCATCAGTGGCATAGCGCTCGCCTTGTAACCAGAAGGTAATGGGTTCAAACCTCCTGTCGTGGGTGCGCACTTCTGAAGAGCCCCAAACCAGGACGAACAAAACAGCTGTCCAGTACTCCCAGGTGGTTTTCCAATGGTTCTCTAACTGATATCAGTTCATGATGAAATCTTTCAACCAATCGAACAAAATCCCTACACAAACAATACTTGAAAACCTTTGGATTTAACAAGATAGATTCTTGGATAATGTCTTAATGTAAAAGCCAACATCTAAGGAAATGTATGTCTTCTAAGGTGGTAAGTATTCCGTAGAATAAATGTCTTTTGATTACGAGATTTTCATCATGAGCTGACATTAGTTAGAGAACCACTGACAAACCTGGGAGTAATGGACAGTTGTTTCGTCTTAGTTTGAGACTCTTCATCAGTACGCACCCACCGGGATTCGAATTTTCAATTTGAATTTTCAATGTCACCGACAGCCAAAGTGATATAATTAAAAATAAATTCAGTGGTAATATTTAAGTCTCAATCCCTGGTGTTCTAATGTTAAAATTAAAATCAACAAAGTGAATTGTCAAGTACAAGTTAAAATTCAATCTACTTTTTCAGCAATGCTGGATTATTTATATCCAGGAAGTACAGTTAAGTTCTTTTAAAGCGCTTTGAGTTATTTTAAAATTCTGTTTGCCTCACTTAGCATAGCTTTACCCTACTTTGCTAAAAACATTTCGTTAATTATAAGAGAAACATGTATTTCTGATCTGTTTAATCAGTTGTTTGAGCAGTTAAAAATCAATTAGTAAAATGTGAAAAAAAAATTCAAGGAGCTTTCCAAGAAGATAATCATCATTTTATTTGCATGCCAAAATGTTTATCTCTTCCTGTTAACATGCTCAATATAATCGATATCGAGAGAAAATTTAATTCTATATGTCCAAACTAAGTTCCCTTTTAACAGTTTTATTTTTCATTCATTGGGTAATACAAAAACTTCTTTAAAAAAGTTTGATCGTCTTTCCCCCTGAATTATTGATTAATCTAACAACTGACGAATAAATAAGAAAACTAGGTACATGGGAAATAAATGTCTGGTTTTCAGAAGATCTCTAAATGAAATCAATACAATCTTTGCAAAATAACCCTTAAAATTTATTTTACTATCTAACTTTTGTCTGTCTTTATAGATCTTACGAATCACTTAAATAGATTTTAAAATCTTTACACAGTGTTTGAAGACGACTAGGATGGGACGCGTCTCCCTGATTCTTTTGCTATCTGACTCCTATCAGGCAGAACGAAGACTTTATGAAAACAATGACAGATCCACACCAACCTTGTTTCACTGAAAATGTATATATATATCATTTGTCTGTTACCTACCATTTTATGTAGCAGTAGCGCTTTAGTTGGTGATTCATTTGTGGAATGCTCTCCATGAACGCATTTGGTTCAGGGTTCGATTTCCGATTGACTAAAACCTTACCTCGCCTAGTCACTAGTATGTCTTGCAAAAAGGCGAGGATAGACGTGAGACTACGGACCTCACTACCTAAACAACACCATTGATACTGAAAACTTAGAGCCTTAACTTGAAGCCTTATGTTCCACTGGAAGTTCAGAGGAATGAAAAAAAGTACTCTGGTCTGCTTTAGTCTAGACTCATTTACTGATAATAACTAAACAATAAGCCTTTCATCCTAAATGACTGTTAAAATTCAGCATAACAATAAGACCAGATAACAGTTAGTCTGATGAACATTATTTCCAATCAAAAGCGGAAACTTCGATTACAAAATGGTACAAGGTTAATGGAGAAGTGAAAATTGTGTTGACTTTTCTATACAAAATTTTGTCTTCAGTACAATACAGCAGTAAAATATAGCTGTGAACAAGTATATTATATAATGCACAGTGAAATTTTCTTGTGTTTACAATTCCATGAGTTACAAGTGCATGAAGGCTTTTTTTTATTACAGCTTGATTCCACACTGTATTTTTTTGGTACAAGTATGGAATTTTCAGCATGTGATATCGGTAGCCCAAATTTTGCAGGCCGACCATAGATATCGGGTGTGCGTCGGCAGGGGATCGAACTCCGGACCATTTGCATGGTCGGCGAGAGTCCTAACCACTGTGCTACCGACGTTTAACTATGTTATTCTGTAACGTTTTCAAAATTTCCGTATTTATTAGCAAAACTAATTCTAGAAATAATCATCCGAACCGATGTTATTTCTCTCATTATTATTTGTTTGCATTTTAAAAAAGTAGCTCTGAATTTGATTAAGATTCACGTCTCTTGACATCTGGTTAAATACAAGGTGTAAACAGCTCATAAGTTTACGCGCTTTCCGATCTTTATGAACGACTCAGTTTGAAAAGTTATTTTCAAATGTAACCGTCTATGGTTTCACCTTCAAATGATACTAGTAATGTTATATTTCCTCTTCACTACATTGGCATAAGTTATCCACATAAACGAAACTTGTTGTTCTTAGGTAGTTGGTGAAGCATCGTCTACTCTTCTAACCACTCGCACTCTACATGCAACAACCAAAATTTGAAAATCTGGGAAGTGTTTCATCAGACCTTACAATCTCCGATGACTTTGCTGACTTACATGTAATACGTAAGATGCGAAACACATGAAGAGCAATATCAGAACCATACTAAAAATAAATAGGTATTATGTAATGACCAAAATTCCGGCTGAATTTCATGTATCAGTAAATATTGACCAACAGGTCTACAGTGATAAAGAGGGTCTGTGACTCTTAATACCCATCATAATTTCTTCATTCTCAGGCTGGGGACTCTGTCAAACAACTTGACAATAGTTTGATAAATTCACCGGTAAAACAATATCTCAGTTGTTAAATGAAATATATATATTATCATTTATTATTATTATTCCCTTGGGTTCCTAGTGGAACATAGGGCTTCAACTGCACACCTCCACTTGCTTCTGTCTTCTACTGTACTTTTCACCTGCATCCATGTTAGTCCATTCTGTTTCAACTCTTCTTCACACGATCTCCTCCATGTCACTCTTGGACGTCCCATTCGCCGCTTCCCTTTTGGGTTCCACTCGAGGGCCTGACGCACGATGTCGCCCAGCTGCCTCTTCAGCGAGTGTCCAATTCATCTCCACTTTCTCCTGCATATTTGTTGGGCGACTGGATCTTGTTTTGTTTGTTCCCATAGTTTCTTGTTTGTGATTCTTTCCGGTCATATATATATATGCATACATAATCAGTATTTTCGAATTAATTCGTGAATTGGTTATTGAATCTATTCTACTTTCAGCGTTAAAAGGGTTATTCCGTGTTCATGGAATGACAGATTACAAAACTGTTGTGATGAGGTAAACAGATACAACAGTGTACGCATTTGATGATTTCCTATGCAACAGTTTTTTTCAGGCGCAGAGTCTTGGTAAATGAAATTATCTAAATTAAATAATGAGCTTGAAAATTTAATTAGGCACTAATTATTATTATTATTCTTTTTGTAGGTGTTAACCAAATTGTTGAGATATCTGTAAACACAGAGGAAAGAACAAGACAAAAGGCCAAAAAGAAACAGAAGTTACAATCGCAGGCAAAAATGCAGCTAAGTTAGCAAGCCCTAGATAGCTATTACTAATGATTGATTTCATCCCTGAAGTATTCACATGATCTAAATGGCATAAACATGTCTTACAAGTAGAACACAAAGCAATACATACATGGAGAATAAATCTTGCAAATCCATCATCACCGTAAAAACGAAACTGATGACAATAGCAACTGTTATTAATTCATGAGAGGAAATTCGAAATCTAGAGAAATAAATGAAAGTTTTGCGATATTTATACAGTAAAATTGACTAGGAATATTAACAGGAAGAAATTCTTTCTAATATGTACACATGTGTATGAAATAAAGCGAATATATATATCATAAATATCACATTTTTGAAATCGAATAGCTGAGAATCGACAAAATTGCGTCATAAGTATGTAACTATTTCTTATGTAACAATATTTCAAGCCATATGAAATAAAATAAAGGGGAATAAAATCCTAGACAGACACTGGACGACACACATGGAGTATTAAAAATGTTGTACAATCTATTGTGAAGCGGAATAAAGCAGTTAATAGGAAATCAAACTTGCGCTTTAAATCACATTAAAATCAATATGAATATATAACTATCTTCTTTAAATGTCATGGTTATTTATATTCAATAATAGTAGTTAGTCTGTTAACTTCCTCTGTCTTCTGATGAATAATATGACCTGCTTATATTCTTCTCTAAACCTCTTTTTCCATAGGCGAATGGCAGTGAATTCCTAGACTCAATAAAATTAAGCTTCTTTGAGTTATTCTGACGTTTATCAGTAAATTTACTCTGAATATTATTACAGCTATGTGCGCCCCCAGCGGATGAATTGTTAGTTCTTGTTAATTGACTCACTCGTTTTGTATTTATACTCAGGGGAGCAGCCTCAGTGTTATTATTACTGATGTCGCTTGACTTGTTATTGTTATTAGTATCATTGAATGCTTTTTCAATGTCAGTTTTTGTAATTAAATGAACTGTACCCATGTGAATAGGTTCTCTGTGTATGGATAATAAATTCAGTTTGGTTTTTTTAATTGACTTTCCAGTTAAGATCTCATCTTCACTAAGAACATCTAACTCATGTTTGGAGTTTAAACTATTTGTATTCGACAAGGATCGTTCTTTCCTTCTACTCTGATAATTTAATATTTGACGATTATTATTATTATTACTGATTCTGGTGCTATTATTGTTGTTATTATTATCATCAAAAGTGATAATGTGATTATTAGGTTTATCTACTGTGATAAGAGATTCAGTTTCAGCAAGCGTTTTCAATACATCTTGAACATTAGTATTTTGATTGGATCTTTTAAATGATTGACTGGTAATAATGCTTCGTCTGGGTAATCTAACATTCTTCATTGAATTAGGCATTACTGGATAACGTCTCAAACTGTATTCAAATGTTCTATATTCTGGTAGAGATGTACGCGGATAGAATAATTGTCTGGTATTACTGTTTTGTAGACTGTTACGTTCATTAGAGGTATAATTAGCCTCATTTTCATTCAACGCTGTTGTTGCGTTCTTTACATTTTCATCCGTTACACCAGTAGACTTCAGTGTTTGAGACAGTGCATGACTTTCTTTATTTTGTTCATTCATCTCAAAGTTGGTTTGATTTACTGCTGGTTTATATCTTGGTGGAATCCAGCTACGAAGACTACAAGACTGAACAGTTGGCCAGCGTGCACGGAAAGCAGCTTGTGATTCACTATAAAGTAAATTCCAACCACGTGGTAAACCTAAATCACCATTGGTTTTATTAATAACAGGAGTATCATCCCAACTAAATCTTGCATATCTGTTGCTTCTTTGACAAAAAATGAAGGCTGATGCGTCTTCAAGTCCATGAAGAGGAAGTAAGCACTTTTGATGACGACTTTTCTCAAAACATTCGATGCTCATATCTAAATGAATTGATAAACATAGGTAAAGAAAAATTAATTGGTAAAAACTACAATCTTATCACACTGAATTCTTTTTAAAAATAAGTTGTACGCTCAATGTGAAAACCAAAATGGGGTTTACTACTAGTCTAACTGTTAATAAATACTTAATGTAGTTATTATGAAACTAATGCCGAATGGCTGAGCGACCACTATTCACAGCTTAACAGAAGCTTTATCTGAATAATTTGAAGGCTTCATTTCAACAAATAGTTAGGTTTATTCTTGTGGAACCCTACCACCTAGTAACAGCATTTTATCAGGATCTCCTGAGACTACTATCTCTAAACGTGTCTGACTTAATCCATTTAAAGGTCAATTTTGGATGCATTGTTCAGAAACTTATCACTTATGTCAATGCTTTGATGAATTGAGAACAGGTGCGAGTATTTTTATCTCCTTACGACAAAAGCAATACTTCTGACAGGCCAAATGATAAATGATAATTCAAAAGAAGTGAAAAATACTTAATAATTACGTAAAATGAAGTATACTCATCTTCCGGAAGTTACTTTTATTATATAACTTAATCTGATTTTCCAATAAATTTGCGACGAAGGAACAAGACCACTAAGAAGACTGTAGAAGCCTTTTTACATAATTATTGGTGCTACAAATGACATTTCAGATTAATCTTGTCAGAATTTTCGTTCAATATATTCCGCATTAAACCACCAACATCACTATCATTTGACAATCTTATAATGCATTTCAACTTCCAGAAAATCTGACTCCATTCAAATTAACAATCGGATGAACAATATATTCTGTTTCAGGAGTAAAATATAGAGAATTCTTTATTCTAAAGTGCTTAAAATGTTAA